AACTCTAGATTTGAACTGGATGAAGGATTTTAGTTGGTTTTAATCAGCGGGTCAGTTTGTTTTGGAGAGGAGGAGACCTCTGTGGATAATATGGCTCCCGGTAGAAACCTCCTGAACAACCCCACACTGCTTCACCATATTGTCAAACTTCGTCCCCCCTAATGTCAGCTGACATATTGTACATATTGGACAGTCTCACCTCTTTAGCAACCCATCCGGACCCACAGGCGACGTCCAGAACCAGAGCCTGTTCAGCATTACCAGTGAAGTGATCAGACAGGTGGTTTACTGCCAGGTCTGGTGCTCTGTAGCTCATCAGAGAGTGATCCTGTTTTCAAAAATGTGTTAGTTTGTCAAACCCGATACTGTATCTGCAGCACTGTTAAGTTACAATTGTAATCTCTGGTCTTGTTTGGTCATATGGAGGCATCAGTATTAAACTGACTGTTTCATAATCTGGCCGTCTTGGTAAAGCAAATCTAAAATACCAAAGTTAAGAAAAGCACAAAGTACAATATTCCCCTCTGAACAAGACAGGAGCTGAAAGAGGCTAAAAGGCTCCACAGAGCTGCACAGATGGATAAAGATTAACCAACATCAAACCTGAATAGAAACTGGGATCTTAAAACTGACCTTTTCATAGTTTTCTGCCCAGCTGTCGTAGAACTGAACTCGGTCTTTTGCATCTGGACTTTTACAGGACTGAAACGCGACCCTGGCAGTGTCCACACTTCTGCAGGAGTCTGCCATGATGACTTCAGCCCTGCCGGAGGAAGGAGACAGACCCTGGATGCATTTACATGAGAGTTTATCTCAGACAGTGAGACAGTGACAGCAGTCGAGAATATTGCAGTAAATTAAAAGATGAAGTGTCTTCACAGGAGCTCTGACTAAAGAGCAACATCAGCTGTTATTTTCAACATGCTTTTACTTCTCTGGTTCCTTAAGGAGCCCTGAAATAAAGACATTTTATTCTTTATTATATCTTTATTTCCAATGGAAATGGACTAAACTGGATCATTTATCAATCAAAGCCGTCTGTTGTTCTGCGTTTTCAGATTCTGCAGTGTGTGTGTCTCTGTCACAGTGAACTGAATATCTGAACATAACAAGACCTGAGAAACTGAAATTGGTTTTCATTCATCAAAACAACTGTTGGCACATTAATAAATGACAGCCCTTATAAAAGTAGAGTCTGACTGATGAAGGTGTGAAAGCGGTTTGTGCTCACCTGTGTGAATGTTTCCAGGTAGAGAAGCAGATGTGAGTGTGAGAGCAGTGACGATAGAAGCAGGGTGAGTACAGGTGAGCAGGTCGGTGCTGATTGACAGGTTTATTCTGCTCAAACAGGTATTACCTGAGTGTTGACCTGGTGAAAGGAAGGGGGCAGGCGTACACCCACTTCTGTTCATTGGAAGAAATCACTGTTCACATTGAGTTTCAAAAAGAGAAAACTGATAGCCAATTAATTGATTTAGTCTCACTGACTCGTGTACAGTGACTGTATATTTCACACACACAATCCACATTATCAAGTTCATCACAAAAAATGTATTCAACTACTAATCAGACACACAAACACACACACTAACAACACAGAGTTAATGACCAAAAAACAGCAAATGAATGTGCAATACAACCACAAATAATTTTAAAAAAATGAAAGGGACAGATCTGTTGGGTTGGACCCCCATTAGGGGTCACCAGAGCTTCACAGGGGGGTCGTGTGGCCTTGATTTTAGGAGGTGTAAGAGAACTTTAAAAATATACACAGTAGGCCTACATCTCAACATTTGAGTATAATGACAATAATCAGAATCAGAATCACAAGCAGAAATACTTTAATAATCCCAGGGGGAAATTATTTAAAGATCGTTCATTTGTATTTTTCCCTGACTCCCTATTATAATCAGCAATATAATAATTAGTGTAATTAATTATTTGACATTAAAGTAAATCTGAACACATGTTGTGCTCAGAATTTCTTGAGCATTGAGTGGTTGTGTTTACATTCACATGAGGAGTTCACCTTGGTTTGGAGCTTTAAAGACAGGCTGCCAGATACTGGACAGTGTGATCACAAGACCCCCCTTTCATTGATTTCAAGGGGAATCCCAGACATTAATAATAACCATAGAGATATCCAATCTGCTCTCTCGTGGGCATGGGTTTGTTTATTAAAATGTTACAGTGCCTAATCTATATGTATCATCCCAGTCAAAGAAATCAATAAAATACATTTTTAAATGACTTATTCAAATCACTTGTTTTATTTGACAGTTCAAGATCCCCAAAATATTCAGCTTACAATCAGATCAGTGCCAAAGAAAAGCAGCAAATGATCATATTGGAGAAGCTTTGAGCAGCAAACCAGGTAAAACATGGAGGAAGAATTAAAAAGTAAAGGTCTGTTCTCTCTCCCGCTGACGTTTACACACACAATGAATTTACAGAATGTATGACAGACTTGATTTGTAACTGAATATTTAGGATTTTCTCTTCTGTTATGTACTGAATATGATTAATAATTGATCTTAATGGATGGATTTCTTGTACAGATAAACCGTCCCGCTGATGTATCGCTCCTCCTGCATGTCTTTGGCTCTCTCTGCACTCAGATGTGGGTCCTCCATGTATCTGTCTGTCTGTTTGATTCCTACTGGACTCCACAGTCCCTCCTCCTCCATCAGCTGCAGCTCTCTCTCCAGATCCTTCTTGTATTGGTTTGCTGGTGTTCCTGTGTGTTCACCTCTCGCCATGCAGACCAAACCTCCTGCAGACAACACGCAGTTTATTCAGTTACAGTTAGTAATACACTGGAGGGAGCAGGAGATCAGGGTGTCACAGAGGAACAGAACAACACAAATCCCAACTCTGACAACCTCTAAGGGCTCCAAGAACATTAAAAGATTGGTGGAGTCTGGTCACCCTGGTGCCCCCCCTACTGGAGCTAGAAGGTGACAGGTAGGTGGCTTGTTAGTATCATGGATGGATTACTGAGCTACTGAGTACAGGCCCAGAGCCCCTGGACCAGATCCTCTGTAAAACCAATCAAAAGGACCAGAAAAAGATTCAAAACCACTAAAAACATGAAAATGACTTCAAAGACACTCAAAGCGACTAAAGAGACTAAAAATGACAAAAGTAATGGAAAACAACCACAAAGAGACAGACTGCGTTTGGTGTCTCTTTCAGTCCTTGCAGAGCTAACAGTGGTTAGCTGCTTACCTGGTTTGGCGGCGTGGCAGAGCTCCCTGACAACACCGACCGGGGCAAAACCAGCATCCAGTGCGCCAACGATGATCACCACATCAAATGTATCTTAAACCAGGAGAAGAGGAGGAAGAAGAGCCAGCTTCAGTTTCCAGGAATCATATGAACAAATAAACATGTTTACAGCCTTTTGGATCTCTACAGCTAATTTTCCCATTCATGATGTATGGGGGCTTATACAACTCACCCCTTCAAATCATATTAATTCAGAGTGTGAGTGGAGAGTACCAGTCTGTGCAGGCAGTGGTTCTGTTCCCAGTAAGGCCAGTCTGAGGTCCTGATAGAGGCCGGTCTTAGCAGCTTGTTCCAGCATGCCTTTACTGCCGTCCACTCCCACAAAGTGCCTGAAGCCCAGTTCAACCATCTATACACACAAGGAGAAGAAACCAACAGTGACATTTTTAAAGTCCACATGAACCAGGAAGCAGAGAGCTGTTTCCTCCCTGATATTTACTGTAAAAACAGTCAGTTAGGGAGGGGCTTCAATGTCCGTTATGTTCTCTCGTTAAGCAGGTGTAGCGGTCCTATTAGCTGACTCTGCTGGACTGGGAGTTCCCAGTGAACAGTGAACAAGTACTGATGTGGATTGTTTTGCTGGTTGTTGTGTCTTTGTAAATGGTAAATGGACCCTGTACTTGTATAGCGCCTTTCTAGTCTACCGACCACTCAAAGCGCTTTTACACTACGTGCCACATTCACCCTTTCACACACATTCACACAGTGGATGGAAAAGTCCATCAAACAGAAACTAACTCATCCATACACATTCACACACCGATGCTATGCATCGGGAGCAATTTGGGTTTCAGTATCTTGCTCAAGGATACTTCGACACTTCAGGAGCCAGGGATTGAACCAACAACCTTCCGATTGGGGACACCCGCTCGAAACGTCTGAGCCACAGCCGCCCCATTGTAGTTGAGTTTCGACTTCAAATGGATATTTTTGGCTCACCAGTTTAGAGACCATCCCAGATCCACAAGCAACGTCCAGAACCTGAACCTCTTCACGATTCCCAGAGAAGTGGGAATTCAGGAAATCTACCCCCAGGTCTGATGCTCTGTAGTTAATGATCTTCACATCCTGTTGATGTAAAATGCACAAATTCTTAAAATCAACACTTTTAGGAATATCAGTGTGAATAAGAGTTGAATTCAATACATGTACTGAACACTGGGATGTCCCATTCATCGCTGCATGCCGCTTTAAGGTTAAATTAATATTCAATCAGTGGCTGTTGTTCTTAGTGCTGAACCCTGGATACAAGGTTAGGAGGAAGAACAAAGTGTTATTATATGCAGATGACACTTCTCGATATCGATAATCCAGCAGATTCAGTTTCAAACATCGTGTGTACTGACATTTTTCAGAAACATATCCAGATTCATAGTGTGTTATTCTGAGAGATAAGATGGTACAGAACCAGCGTGTCTCCAAAGCGACCTGATTTCAGTGGCTCCTTTAAAGCCAACAGGGAATTTGTGTTTGATACTCAACAGACAAATGTTTTGTGGTGTTTCCTCTAAGGAAGATGAGTTTCTGTCTACTGACCTGTTCGTACGTCTGTGCCCAGCTGTCGTAGAACTTTGCCGTCTGCTGCGAATCGAAGCCTTTGCTGGACAGAATGATGGACTTCACTTCCTCCACAGTTCTACTGCAGTCTGACATGATGAGGAGACAACTACAAACCTGCCGAAGGGGAGACAATTTACATCTTCTGTTCGTCCTCTGGCCAAGAAATGTCACCCATGTGGAGACCAACCCAACAGAGAATGTATCTACTAAC